TTTTCGAATCCTCTTTCAACTTTCCTTTCTTCTCCTACTCTTCATCTCAATGGGCAGCCAAAAGACAGCAACCAAAACCGGCGCACGAAAGTGCATGGTTAATGGTTGTTCAAACTGAACTGAACTGAATGGTTATCCTAGAAGTAGTATTATCTGAATGACTGGAAAGAATTCTCCCGGAATCGTTCAACCGGTTTCACGGTGATGCAAATGCATCTTATACCTCCAATGCACACTCGCTTCAAAATAAACTATCGTATTTGGTTTTCCACTGCATCTGCGCACTTTTTTCTCTGCATGTCACAAATGAAATCCCAGTGGGACTATGTGTTACAGGCAAAACGTTCAGGAAAGTGCGCATGAGAACTCTGCGAGCTACTTGTTGCTCGGAACCAGTTACAGCGTTCTGTATTGTGGTATCTTTGAGGTTATGTGCTCTATCAAAACGATGTTTTGGGTACTTTTTGATGCATGCTAATAATGCCTCTGGGATATGTCGCACATTGAGAAATAGAATCCGGTGGTCGTTCGTGTCAAATACGGTGGGGTCTGATGATTGATAACTGATTGTGAACGTTAAGCCTTTGTCTCCGATTAATCTCTGGGGTACTTCCTACCTAGTTAACCTGTTTCATGTGATGCCTTGATGCATCCACCTTTGGTGAACAGCTCGAATCGCCCGAACTATTTAATTCCAAATCCTGTCTCATTTGTTAATTCTCCCTTCGAGTCCCAACTGGTTTTCTGAGAGAAATCTCCAATCCTGTGTGTCATGTTTTGTCGCAACACCAGGGAGAAGTGAGTTTAGACACAAATTAATGTGTGCAAATTGAAGCAACTGTGAAGCGTCTGTGCTTTTAATGACTCATGGCGTAGTTTCCACCATGTTCAATGCTTTAGAGCGATCGAATAACTACCCAATATGCGTGGGCGTGTATAGCTTTTGGATGTAATCGGAGAGGACAAACTCTATGTGTGAATATTTGGCATTCATCTTTATACAATTCTTGGAATGTGTCACAACGGCAAAAACTGCCGCTTTCTTTGAACTATAGTTTAGCTAGTGAGTTAGAAAAAGAGCAGCAGTGAGCGCAAGAACAATCTGAAATCATCTTTCAAAGGATCGACAAGTACAGTATTGACTGCACAGCTATATGTTAGTAGTTTATCCGAGTTTGAACCTTCAGTATTGACGCATCTGGGAAATAAGTGAGCAGTTTAATTACTATCAAGATGGCTTAACACCCATTCTAATACACCTCATTCTTTTGGTTGTTATTGTTTGGGGTTGAGCACTTGCAAAGTGCATCCGTATTGCCCAGTGGTTTGCGATTGGTTTCAGTTTATATTTTTCATTTATTGACTATTCCATTTCGACTGATTGCTCTTCCTTCCCAGATCGAAATTTACCGTGCGGTCTGTGCAAGGTATGGTATTAGCGAAAAATCTGCCAAAAAGGCTGACACTCTGGAATTGCCCAGTGAAATGCTGTCCTGTCCATTCGCCCACCTAAAGGATGTTCGAAGTTTTCTGTTGGCGTTAAAACATCCTGTAGCCTCGGTGGCTATGTTTTATGATCTGGCAGCGAGTCATATTCATGAACTTCGGGTAAGTTGTATCCTCGACTGTCTATATTTATCAAAAAAAGTTTTTCTTGTGTCAGCTTAAGCATGCATGGTTTTCGTCAGAAAAGACAATTGATTCGTTCTATCAAACTGTGTGTTCAGAAAATCATATTACAAAGACGTCTGTGACAGAAATTAATCCTCAATTTGTTTGTCATCAAAATGCCGCCAGTTGCTTAGCTACCAGAACCGTCGGTTTGCCAAAACTTGACCAACAAAACACTGAGGCAATGTGTGAAAATCAGCAATCCATTGAGAACGTCCTTGAAAGGCTATTTTTAATTACACAGATTTGTATGATGAATAGCAGACTGGGCGAACCCCATAGACACGAAGACCTGCTGCTCCGTCATGGAAACCGGTGACCTAAGCCCCGGGACTTGGAGTGGCGAACTACACAAGGCCCCGCTAGGTTACGCGTGTTATCGAACCGGACGATAGTAAAGCTGTGTACCAGTAAAGTTGGGTGGCGGTACCGTAGTTCGAACCTCGGACCATGGAGTCCAAAGCACACCTGTGATAGCGACTAAACCACTGTGCCACTACCATCCCATTTACACGTCTCCATCCCACCTAATGCTTTTTTTCATTTTCATTTTTGCTTCCTTTTATCGAATACACAATGAACGGGTCATTCGATTGGCTGCCATACAACACGATAGGAAAATCAGGCGGTGGTGGTGGTGGTGGTGGGAATCGAACACATGTCTCTTTGGATGATAATTCGGTGACCTTTACTACCGGGTCAACACCGCTCATGAATGATTTTAGTCTTAACACTCAACCACTGTATGATCCCAGGTGCCTTTTGTAAATGTGTGTCTGTTTTGCGATATTATGTACAAAGAATTTACTTGATTCATGTCAATTTACGGATTTGTTTTGAATTAGGATACCAGAAATCATGCACATATACAATCATTCCAAACGTTATCCCCTCTGTTTTCGAAAAGCCTACTGTCGATTCCGATGAGCCAGTATGGGATCAGATGTCTCAAGGTCAATTGGTGTACCTTTCTGGCCTTGTTCATTTCATCGCGGAAATTTTGCCCTGTGTACTGTCCAGTGAAAAGCCGACCGTGAAACCAGTGCTATCCACGATTTCCAGTGATTCGTCTGCTAAGCGCAAGCCGAAACAACGTACTCGACACGCCACTGGTAAGACGTCTACCTTGTCGGAAGGAACGGACGGTGCTCCGATTGAAGCTGACCCCTCGGGATCCACCACTGGCACGACTAGTGTGAATGTCGAGGCGGTGGTCGATGCACCACCACCACCGCCGCCACCACCACTACCTGCTCCTGGTCAACAACAGTCCTCGGAAGGCTCTTCAAACTCTGGACCGATGGATTTATCTGAAAGTTCTGCATCAAAGGAAGAGTCACCAAAAGCGGAAGAACTCTCGGAGCAACAAGTTAGTACCCTAATATTGGTTTTGTCTTTTTAGTTTCCGTTGAGCGCTATCCTCCTCTCATATTCCGATTTAATTCTAGGACACACTGTTTCTCTATTTTTAAACGAGTACTTAGTTTACTTCTTGGATTCTAGGCATCGTTATTTCGCTGAGATGAGATGGAAAGAAAACCACTCTGCTGAATGACGTTCTGTTGACGGGCTCATTTTTATTCTCCTGGTGGATTATGCGGCCACATAGAACATGCCAGTCCGTAGAGATTCTCGGAATTAGGGTTGCAAACTGGTGTTCCCACCGTCGTTTGACCTTTTCATTCTCGGATTACGCCTCTAGCCTTTGCCCATTCAAGTAAAACCGGCAAGCTTCGTAGGTTTCTTTCAAACAACCCAGTGATCAGTACCGCCCTCCCTCCCTGGAAAGCTTTGTCGAATAGATGGGCCGGGATAATTGGTTATGGGTGTATACAGTGCTCACGTAAATTTTCCTCTCACACACATGTATTTGTGTGATGGTAAGTTAAGCGTGCCATAAGTACATGTATGATTGGGTAATTAGAATTTATGCTCTTCCAGGGGGCTTTAGATTACCTCGTTCAGTAAATCAAAATAAGATTTTTCAACCCCATTATCCACAGACAATCGATCGGCTTAGAAAACTAACAGATGCTAACATCACCAGCAACCGATATTAAAGTTCTACTTATCCACAACTCAATGATCCGTGTAAGTATCTTTAGCACGATACTTGTTTCCTTGAGGTCTGATTACTCTGATATGTCGTTCGTTGGGGTGCATGGTTCCCATCGCAGATGCAGGTTGCTGATCGACCGTCCCACTTTCCACATGATTACGATGTGATGAGTCATCCATAGAAGGACGTAAACTTGACACACAATTTGTCCTACTCATCCACTTGCTCTCGCAGGGGCCTGTGCGCGACAGATCCTCTCTCTCTCTCTCTCGATCAGCTCTTGAAAATCGGTTCACGTAGCTCAGGTTAAATGGGATATTTATTTTGATGCATTGGCATGCGTACGCATCATTGTAAACGAGCTTATTCACCAGTCTCTGTTCTTCTGTAACTGAATGCATTATCACCTGTTCGCCGAACTTGGTAACCTTTTTGCAAAGGTTTCATCACCAGCCGAGGTGACATCTTCAGGGCTTGTGGAGTGGTAGTGTTCTGCTTGTCCTCTTCAGCTTATATATGTTCTTAATCGCCTTGACTTGTCCAGGGGACTCAAACCTGAAAGCTGTGACATTCGCCTGTCCGTGAAGGGATACGCGTGCAGTATGCAGCCATCTTACAAGCCCTTTTACTTGATCCTGAGAATTGGCTGTGATTTCTTGTAGTTAAACCGATGAAGAAAAACGTTTCATTCTTTCCTTTTTTTCGTATTGCTCTGTGTGAACTTACAAATAGTCATATTAATTCGTCAAGAAGTGTCCATGACTCCTGTTTGTAGTCCATTGTAAATCCTACGTCATTTATCGTTATGTCTTCAGAATGTCATGGCTTGTGCTGGTGTATCGTTGTTGGCCTACCGTCGCTCATGATGAACTTGTCTTGCATTCGGTGCGTGTTGTGTATTCGTATACGCATCTACCCGAGTCTTGCGCGCATTGGTGACAGAATCTGTGTTTACGTGCGTCTACTAAACCACTGGACTCAGAAACAGTCACTTCGAATCTGCGATTGTGTCATTTCGCATGCACTGAGCCCTTTTAATGTACATATATAGCTACGAACTAATAATTCAACTAATTGATTAGATTCACATTTGCGATTGATGTACTTCTTTTTTTAAATGACCTAATGGTAATACACAAACTCCGTTCTGTTTTTACACAGCTTAAGCTGGTGCGTGAAAACACCGTTCGTTCTAGTGCTCGCCTACTGCTCGATTGTGTTAGCCTTTTGACCAGTCTAGTACGTGCTCTCCGTCACGAACTGGGCTTTCCGGCCTGTTCGCGTGCCGGAGGAAAGACACCCACGGGTATCTGTCCGAACAGTATGACTCAACTCACTTTGCTCTGCCCCGAGCGTTTGGCCGGCACTGCGGGGACCGTCGGCTTTCCCGATCGATGGTTAATCACATTACCCGCTCGTCGCCGTTTAGCGAGCACTCTCCGACTGGCCATGGCTCCATATAAAGAGGCGTTTGCCTTACTTTCCACCCTAACCCCGGATCCGACAACCACGACCTGCGAGGAACCACATACAACCCTGGTAAGACCATTTCAAAGTTGACGCAGTTTCTTACTGTCTCATTGGATAGATCATATTTTGCCATGTTTTTTTGTAGGTTACCGTTAACAGATAGCATGATGTTTATCACGTACCATAAGTTTTTTAAACTCAAAGTACAGCAAACTGTTTCTCTTCATTTACACGGGTATCAGGGACGTCTACTTTTCCGCAAAATAGCTTTAAACTTATCTCTAAAATAGAGCTTCTCTGTTCGACATGTTTGTACCACATCCGGTGACTTCATAGCACCCATTGTTAATCGATACTGTCTTGCTTGTTTTTTTATCCTAATCCTTCAATTCAGTTTATTCTCTTCTTTTGCCACAATGGACACTCACATTTTAGTTGATTTTACTTACCCCCTTCCCTCGTCCGTTATTGTCATTCCTTTTTCAGAACCCTACACTGTCACGATCTTTGTTTGCCCACCTGTTTACTCAATTCCGCATGGCATTAGATTATCTCACCACGGATTCTGAAAACGACAACACCGAAACCAGTCCGAGTGAATCCACCCGACTGGTCTCATCATTGCGTATTCGACAGTTGTGCTTCCTCGCCAAATGGCTGGACACGCTGACAAAACAGATTGCCCATAGATTTTCCGGTCACATTTCAACTAACCGCTCTGCATTTGTGGAGTCCGAGGCTGAGATTCGTTCAGCTCTCCAGTCGGCCTCGTGGCTTGCGTTAGACCCCGTTTCTAGTGCCATTGGTTTGAATCCGGTCGCGGGCACATCTTCCAGTCCATCTGTGGCTACCTGCTTGGCTTCGATGCTCATCATAATGGATATCGGAAAAACCACTCCAGACGCTTCAATCGCCAGCTCCCAACTCTACGATCGGTCGGTCGATATAGTTCTGCGTCAGTTGGAGGACCACCTAATGAGCAGCGTGCTTGTTCTTGCCAATCAAAGTATGCGATTTGGTAGGTGTCTTGTGTGATATCATTCATTCATCGATGTTTTCCTTCCTTGCTTGTTTTCAAATACTCTCTATTAGGAAACACGAATCCTGTGTTCTGTGTCCTAATCAAGGGTCTTTCGACGGGGCTTGTTCTCACAGAGAGAGCATTGAAATAGTACCAATCGGTAATGTTCCATTCACTTCGCTGGATCATTCTGTCTTGACTACAGGACTTTTTACGTAAATCGTGTTAGGTGCAGGAGTTCGGGAGATGTCTAATTAGTATTTTGGAATACTGAATGATATTTTTGAGTGTCGTAAACACTGTAGTGCTGGTTGCAAGAACAATGATGAGCGTCACTGTTTGCGACAATCACTNATATCACTCAGTGCCTCACCATCGGTTACCCTGATCTCGGGGTTCCCATTCAATGTCCTGATTGGGGTTTTCATATCCCTCATGCCAGATCTTAGTTCGACCGCCCTTGACTTTCGTTCCAGCCTCAAATGTACGAGGCAGATAACCAGCCATGACAAGTACGTCATTGATTCTTCGGGATATTTGTCTTGTGAATGAATTCTTGTTAATAAACGATCATCGTGAAAATTGACCGAACGCGTTGAGTTGCTACAAATTCCGGGAATTTTTGATTTATGCTATGGCGAGAGGAGCCAGTGCTGACCTCACCCTGTTGGTCCTTTTGTATTCCTGAATTCGATCTCTTCACTGTATGATCTTTTCGACGTGATCTCAGCAACGGAATAATTCTAATTGTATGTATGTATGTATGCATGTATATATATATATATATATGTGTGTGTGTGTGTGTGTGTGTGTGTGTGTGTGTGTACAGACAGAGTTGAATTACTCAGCTAACTGTAAGCAGGAAATTTTTGTCGAACAAAAGTGTATTATTTCGGAAAAGTATGGTTGTACGATGATACAAACCATATGGAAAAGGTAGACTTTCTTTTGGCGATGCACTGGCTTATGTCAACGTTTAGATATGCTGCAAAACGACGTTGAACGTTCAAATGGGTAGAACTGATCTCACGACAGAGCTGATTGTAGAACTATACATGTCTACGACGGGTTTGATGATGATAGCACAAGTGAGGTCGTACATACGTAGTCATTGTTCTGTTGCATTCGTTAGAAAACCCACGTTCAAGAGAAACCACGTCAATTTTAACAAGTGAAACATTTCTCTAACCAAGGCAAATAGTATGCAATGACCTTGAACCCACTGTCCCAGGCTTCGTATTTCACCGTAAGTTTTCTTTAATACTTTTCTCACCTAGTACTTCCGAGGCGCTGTTCAGTTGGCTGTGTCCCAATTTTTCGGGTGTAGTTATCTCTAATTAAGCTGTTTCAAATGGCTATTAGGTGAGCTGATGAGGAAAGCTTATCTTGATCTGTTTGCCACTTTTTCCTGCGTTTGTATTTCCCACCGAAGCACATAGATAGTATAGTGATACGTGAGTAGTTCTATTGTATACAACCGTGCCGTCTTTAGTTTATAGCGATTAGGTAGAGCTGAGTCCGTTTCTGACTCGGAGATGACGAACGCCTTGTAGTGTACCGGCAATATGGTCCGCTGAAGTTCGCACTGAGAAACAGACGCGTAGAGCTGGCAGCCGTTCCTCGTTTTGCGAATGAAAAGAATCGAGCACAAAAAGCCATAAATACACATTACTCGAAATCAGCCCATTCTAGCATTCGTATTTCCTGCTGAAATCAATATTTTAACCCCGTTGAATTTACTGAAGAGGTCTTGTAGTCTGCTGTGTAAGTTATTTTTGACCACATTCTGTTTATGCCTGCGCCAAGCAAATTACACTTAGCTTGTTGATGATTACTTATTATTACTATATTAAAGTATATTTCACACTTGTCTGAGGACAGACTGTGTGCCAGGCAAATCATGGTACGATGATCTTCATGAAAAAGTAAAAAATGTTCCGTGATTGGCTTGTGAGCTAAATACTGCCAGGTTGCCCAGACCAAGGCAGGGGAAAGAGGAAAATGATGATTACTTTCCTCGCAAAAACCCCTTAGTTTCGCTAAGTGTAACTGCTTAACGACTGGGATCCAAACGATGTGCTCCGTTCAGGCACGAGAGTCTAGTTATCCCAAAAAGTGAATTGCCGAGGACTAATGCGAGATTTTCATTTCCTATGATTCTTTGATCACAACTGGTGTTCCGAGGCACGTATTGTCGTCCTTAAATACTCCTCAAGCCAGATATTCAGTGATTGGTGGTTTAGGCTAATAAGTTCATAATGTATCGTAAAGGTTTAACCTAGACCTTCGTTGACTTGCAGAGTTGCGTTATTCGACTGCAAGCGAACGCATCACAAATGTCACCTGTGAATTTGACGATGTGTGTACACGTGGGCTGTCAAAACTAGCAGGCTACACTGTACTGTTCTACCCACTTCATGAAAATCCTTGTTACACCCACTGTTTTTATTTCATGTTATCCCTAATAAGTGTGCTTCCATTCGGCATTATTTTACGATGAAATTCATCAATATCCTCAGGTCCTATGGAAACCAATTTCTCGCGAGTTTTATCGTCCGTCTGTCGAGAAGCGTTTGGCTATTTGGAATTGGCCACTGGTCATGCGCATGTTGTCAAACGATGCCTTTCTACCGTCAGTGCTCCGTCACCAAGTGCCACAGACTCTGCTGTTTCTGATTCGAACCCCTATCCTCTTTTGGACTTGTTTGTTTGTACCGTTCGGGATCAGCAACAGTTGCTACAACAACAACAACAGCAGCAAAAGCTCATACCTGTGTCTGACGCGGATCACACAGATTCATCGCCCTCATACACGTATCAGAGCTGTGCCCTTCGCTTGCTCTGTGTAATATTACTCCGGGGTGAGCATTTATTCCTTTTAAGCTCCTACTACCTTTTCGTATACATTTGGGAGCCAGTTTTGTTCACTGATGTGAATAGTGGTTTCAGTTCGTTCTGATCAATGGAATGGGTTGTTTTTGACCCACGGGTTTTCACCTAGATAAATTGGAGTCTCTACAGTGACTCCCATGCTCTGCTTTTTAAGTTTGTTCCTATCGTTTCACATCATACCTATCGTACAATAGCGAATAATTCGTCAGAACGTTATTCTAGCTCCGTTACTAGTTGTAGCATTGTTTGCATTTAACTTCATTCAGATGGCTACTTCTATCTGATGAAATGTGTACGTGTCCCGTGCTAAGGAAGAGTTTTCATGACCGAATAAATGCATGATTTTATGTTCCATACAATAATCTGATGATTAGATCTAATAAACTCCATAGTCACAAGGAACCACTATGGTTATCAGCAACCCAAAACCCGGGACTTAAGTTGACGAACTGCATAAGGCCACACTAGGATAGGTGTGGTATCGACCCGAACGACAGTGAAGCTGCCTACCACCAAAAAATGGTAGTGTTACTGTTCTAGCCTAATCGGTATCCTTGATCTTGTGTTAAAAAGTTTCGGCTATTGTGAAACAGTTTCTTTCGATTCTACTGGATGTGAAAAATACGGTGGGCAAATGAGCCTCTGTCTAAGTCCATGTGAATACAAACACAATTCCTAATTATTCCATTATCATTAGCTTATCTATTCCAATTGGTTCACTTTACGGTTTCCGATTTATTAGTTACTGAATAATAATTACTACCTAATAGGTAGTTATGCAATATGATTGTCAAAGTGAGATCCTACTGGGGGTGATCACTGCTCTAGTTACAATCAGCGAAGTCACAATTCTAGTTGCTTGATAAATTCCAACCACGTGGCATAATATCATACAGACGAATATACTTTGTGCTGATTCGTCCCTCAAGGAGGAAGGTGTTTTCATATTGTTGAGGTAACGGGGAAGACTTGTACTCCTCTTCTAATAAAATCTCGGATGCAGAGAAAGAGAAAGCTGCAAGACTGTATTCGCTCAGGGTTCCCTTGCGCCTATCTACCTAGTCACTAGCGCTGTCATAATCGAACTATACATAAATTTCAGGGATCAAAATATACATTCGCTGCATTTGAAAGTAGGTCACTTAACATTGGTTTTATCTTGACGAACACGTCATCTATCAGGTGTGCTCCATTACCTCTTGTTCACTAAACCGCGAACGTGACTTTGTGCTTGTAATTTTTTTAGTAAAATGCATTTCCTTTCTCGGAAATACCAATCCTGTTTCCGATTGTGTAAACTAATAATAGCATAGGATTTCGGATAACTTACCAAATTACTAACTGGAACCAACAAAGTATCATCCCGATTTGCTTTCGTTTTCATGTCTCATTGTAAGTGAAGTTAATTGCTTTAGACGGTGAATATCTGGATTAGCCCATTCGGTTTTTCACAGGTACCAGGCACGGTTGATGAGGTTCGGCCTGGGTTTCATTCCTTGGGAGATCATTCAATCCCCACAAATTGTTTGCATTTAAATGCGGTGCGCACTGCTGACGAGTCCCAAAACAGGACAAAACAGATTTCTAGCGCTCTTTGTCGATTATCACAAACATTTCCACCGCATTTAAATAGAAGGTAATGGCTGTTTCACTCCAATCTACGAATTCGGTTACAGCCATCAATGCTCCTAGTAAGCGGCGTTCACTCTTTGCGGAGTTATCCAAACGGGTATTGGAACGCTCTGTGTCCGGAGGCAATCGATCCCTAATGTCATTCTGGCTTTCTAGTGTGGCAGGTCTCAAGATTGCACCGAATCTGTTCACAAGTTCCGATCGGCCGTGGTTGGTTGATTTCATTGGTACACAGGCGGATCATCTAAACGAACCAGACCTTCAGGAATCGGAGGAGTGGAATCTGAGTGCGTCAATAAATAACGCGATACGCTTCGGATCTGGTCCATCCGAGGTTCTCACATCATCGTACCTGACTCAGTGGAATGCATCCAGACGGCATTTTCGTTTGGCACTCTATTTCGAACGGCTCTCACGATTGCTGGTATCCCCATGGCACGAGGATGCTAATGTGATTCATCAGGTGAGTCTTAGCTGTTGAGTTGGAAAAATCTCCAACCGTTGTGCTTGTGTGTGGTTTTCCACAAACACACGATCGTGCATCGATTTACTTGCAAATCCCTGGTAATAAATATGCTTGTGTCCTCCTATGTTTCATCTCCTGTTTCGTCGTTCTGTCCAGTATCTTTAGCACTGCACTCACACTGGGGACAACAAGTAGCAATCGATTTTCCGAACCTGTATTCTTTTTATTTTAATTTGGATGAAAACCAATATTTCCTAATGTTTTACTCGATTTGACGACTTCAGTTTTGTGGAGACATCCTAACCGAGGCGGTAGCAAGCTGGCGAGACCCTGTACTGGAAATAGTTAAATCAGTGACGACTACCACGGGCACTGGCGCCAGTACATCCCATACCGCATCACGGGCATATATCACACTCCCTCTGATGATCTCATCTCTTCGCTGTCTGTCAACGGGCTGTCCAACCGGCCAAGCTCACGTCCGACTGATCGGTCTTTTTTCCACTTGGTCCGACGAACTCACTTCAGTGTTCCATCGGCTCTCTTCTTCTACCAATACTGATCCTCCATTGAGCGTTATTTGGGCTGGAGATGATCGAAATGATTTTGTGGTGAGCTACTTTCTCGTTATTACGACAAGCATGGAACTTTCATTTTCACAGGCTTCCTTCGCTTTATCGTGGTATTGCTTTTTCTTTTTTTCGTTGTTTGGCATCATACGTGTGCCCATCAGTTAGTTAAGTCTTGTATAAACATTGTAATTCTGCCCCACATAATTTTTTCTGGGGGGGGGGGATGATGGTGTTTAGCTGTCAGAATTGGTTTATTTCTCCGTGAACTTTCAGTGTTACGTAAAACGTATGCCGGGGGATTTCCACGCGTGACTTCTAATGGAAAAGCTGCTCTATAGTTCGTGAATATAACGCAACTAAGCGATATAGAGGATGGGCAGATAAACTGCAGCTCCAACTCTCTCAAGGAAAGGTGAACAAACTGGCTCCACATCTCCGAAATTTAAGTTCCTGTTACTAGCGCGCTCTAACCTCGCCACTGTTACCCAACTACCCTGATAGACATCTTCGTTATCAGCGAGATCCATACTAAGCCTATTTGAATTATGCATCATTTAGCCATTTCAAGCTTCAAGTTGTTCGTAGTAACGCAGTTCTCCGATTGTTGTTGTTGTATGCAGTGTAGTAGAAAAGAATTAGAAAGGATTGAATATTTCTCGCTTATTTACATTTATGTCTGGTTATTTGTAGCCAACTTTGTGCACTGCTCTTCGCGCGATGTACGAATACGTTACACTGGTGACGTACGCGTTGAACCCCAGTTTTCAGCTGGATGATGGCCATTTGTTACCCGGGGATCATGCACCTGGTCTTGGTCGTCCACGGCTTGATTTCAGTCAATCTGTGCTTCGGGGTCAACCCAACCCGTCTTTGTTCTGGACTGATTCGTCCGTGATCTCCGCCGTTCGCAACTATGCCCGATTTTGTTCCGCTGTGCTCACCGGACACCAGACTGATCGTGGTCGTGGCCGTCGAAAGGTACGTCTGACAATTAGCGAGATGACGCTTTGATGTGTGTCATATTTTATCCGAACCCGTTAACACCGGTTGACACTCACCGCATCGTAGAGGTGACCGTCCCGTTATAATTTGTCTTACCTGTTCGCTTATAGGCACCGGACAGCCAGTATAACTTGAACTACGAGCTGCGGACCGCACAAACTCGTCTATTTTGGTGGCATACTTAAATGCAAAGATTCGGAGTTAGTGACTTTGAAACCTGTGGACTTAGTAGTCCCGCACTTTTGTTGTAAAGATAGAGTATCACAATGAAAACTATAAACCAAGATGCGCGCTGATGGAAGTTTTACGTTATCCTGACGTGCTTATAGTTTCCGGTTCGGGGCATATTTTCCTGATAAAGCATCTGGTGCATTTTCATATAAGCCTCCAGCATGTGTCACTGATAGCATTAACTGCACTTAGTTTTGTGTTCATCATCTGGTTTCCTTTTGCTAACCGCTTACTTCAAGTTCCCGACGCTTTTCAGTCCGCACTGCGCTGGATGACTTTGTTTCCGCCGTACGCGTGCTTTCCCGCTTGTTTTCAAATGGTTTATACTTTTCCGGCCCATATCTTTTGACTTTCATATGCTTCCCTAAACCTTCTATCTACCACAGACCGCCTCTTCCGAAGTTAATCGCCTTTCCGCATGCTATGCAGCTGTTGGATCAACGCATCTTGGGTCATCTGCAGAGAATGTGGCAGACCCGGAGGAGGAATTTTCCGGACCAGAACTCATTAGTGATTACGGTGTTGACGATTGTTCTGTCGAAGAGTTTTACATGACCTTACCTGGGCCCCAACTGAATCAGGAAGTATGCTCGTACACGGCCACTCAGCAAGCGTTTATCGATCAGCATTGGTATCATTGCCATTCATGCCGGCTGGAGTACTCCGAGGGAGTGTGCTCTGTATGCGCGCGCGTTTGTCACGCTGGTCATGATTTGTCCTATGCAAAACACAGTACATTCTTTTGTGACTGTGGAGCCTCCAAAGACCCCGTTCAGCGTTGTCGCGCTCTCTCTTGTCGATTAAAAAATCGCGGTGCGCGCCTGTTGCGTCGGTTTTCACGACAAGACAGAGTCACCCGATTTGTGGAAGATGAAATGCTGGCATTTTACGCACCGTGGTTAGCTGGTGAGTTCCTCCCTGCTGCTTTTCGCTATGTCATATTTGTCATGACAAGAGCTTGAATAATAGATCTTAGTGTTGATAAAATATTGAAAATTGGTTCTCGTAGCTCGGGTGAACTGAATTCTATTTCGCCTGTTCGCCGAGCTTGGCAATTTGTTTGCAAACGTTTCATCACCAGCCGAGGTGACATCATCAGTGCTTGTGATGATGTCACCTCGGCTAGTGATGACATGTTTGCAAACAAATTGCCCAGCTTGGCGAACAGGCGAAATAGAATAGATCTTAGTGTCCGCTTCCAGTGCAACTGGTAGCGATTGCTAACGTTTTGCAAATTACAGTCTTCGACTGGGTCGTAAGGTTTTTTCTTTTATCTTTTCGTTCCACAGTATACCATTCTATTTAAATCTAAGGTACCAATGGTACACCTGTTTTATTGTTTTGACAAGTTCTTATTATTCATCAATCTCGTTCTGGTTGTGCGACCTATCTGTAGACGGATTCTGTGACAGCAGTCGTTCGCCGCTTATGCTCTCCGCAGTGCAATCTACCTACGGGGATTCGGAAGACAATCGCATGAGTGATTTGTCTGACGGGGAATCGCACGGTGTCAATACACGTTCAGCTTCAAAATCGAAAACAGCAAAGCTCCGAGTAAAGGAAACTCGTAGCTCACCCCTCCCGCCCACTGGTGAGTTCATCCAGGCTTTTATGCGGCGTTGATCACGCGCATGTATAGTGATGGTTTTGGTCTATAACACTAGCCTACTCCATGCGAATCACCAGACACTATGGACGATGTTTTGATTTTACTTATTCTTTGTGATTTACACACTTTCTTTCCATACTTTCTTTTTATCAGAGGTCTTGGAATTCGGCCGTACCATTGCCAAAGTTACCCTGTATATTCTGGATTTTGCACTTTTACGTCAATTCATGAATTTATGTTGGTCAATAGCTGTCCAGTATGAAATTTCTTTGTGTTTTCGCGCCTGGCGCCCGAATTTCTCCCTTTGCTCATTCCATCTGAAATCTGTAGAGACGGTTGAGATATAAGAGTCAGGTTTACCATAATAAACATGGCGTTCGTTGCTGTCTTCTGCCATCGCGAAACTCTCTGGACGGAATGACGATTCCGTCTATTTTTTCAAGTAACGTTCGTTCACTCGTGGGAAAAAACGGCGATGTGCAGAATCTGGTGCATCAGAAGCAATGCATTAATGTCGGAATTGTTTTACTCTAGAAATGTTGATTACACCCAGATATTGAGGGCAACGTCGTTGAGGCGAAGTTTAGCAACTCGATAGAATTACCATACTTTGTTCAATGACTTACGCAGTAAATGATATTTGTAAGTCGGCTGACGGCATTGCACGCGTAATACTTTGTCCTTCTCCATCGTCAATATCCTCATCTTATTCCAGGTCAAAAGGTTCCAAACGCCCCTGCCAAAGTTACTTCCAGCGTGTCTGTCCTTGTTACGGATGCTCCACAAACAGGTTCATCCTCTACCCCCGGTCCTGAATCCATAAGACGTTTGCTCAGCAATGTGCGGCGTTCCTCTGGCACATTGCTCATCCCTGAATCGGCTGTAACCAGTACTGCTGTAGCCACGGGGGCTAGCAGTGTGTTACGTCGTGCCGGTGCTGTTCGCTACAAATTGGCATCAGCCGATGCTCCCGGGGCTAAGTCGAGGAGTAAATCCAACAGTGGATCACAACAGACAGGTGAAGATTCGTCTCATCAGAGCCTGAAGCCATCTGGGCGGACGAATCAAGCAAGTGATCATTCTCGTCACTCTTCGCATTCACAGCACGAACCGGTCGGTTTAGATGTGACTACCTATTCTCGACAGTGTCGTGTGCGATGTGCTTGCATCAGGCAGTTTTGGCATCTTATTGATCGAAGCATGGCCATTCGTCTACCGGGGGTGGTCGAACCTGTTGACGATGGTCTGCGTGACCGTGCCTGTCGTCTATCCTCGGCTGGTTATCTGTCGCTGTGTCTCGTTCCAGACGAACAAGTTCTCGTGGGTCGCATTCGTGAGCAGGTTAGTCGTGGCATTTTTTTAACTATAATTTTAGCTTACTTTCACAATCAGTTCCGTTGGGTATTCTTTTTAATGAACCTTATAAAGCAGTTTTCTCGCTGAAGTATGGAGATTTCAAACCTGATCTTTAAGAGTGTAATTTTCTGATGCCCGATGTTCATACAGATCGTACTTGCGGGATGGTAATCATACCACCGGTAGTTGCCCGCTCAATCCTGGATGAGTACCACATATTTTCCATCCATTTCTCGTTTCTCTTAATTTTTGATTGAAAATTTTCTTGCTGTTGTTTTATAGATGTCTGCACCTGGTGGCGAGAAATACCGATCAAATCTGACAATGGTCCTGACCACGTCCGATATGATCACTAAAGCTGCCGCGTTTCTGTTGGAATCCGACGATAGGGGTAAGTTCTACTCTCCTACTCTCGAGTTGCCTTGTGACTCTTGTGATCCGCATTTGGGGGATGAGGTTTCTCCCTAAACTGACTTATTCCCATTCGTTTTTCTTGCAAATCCGAGCCTAATGAATGCAGTTAGGCTCAGATTAGTCCTCTAAGACATCAGCTTTTTGGTTAACTTAGAGTATACCGGTGACATCTCCTTGTTGGGTGACAATAAACAGGCAGTTCAAAACGCTTTACACCACTTGGCGGTAGAGGTAGCCAGGTATGGTATGTGCTTTGCACCGTCAAAGGGCAGAGTGCTGATTCAAGATCGGCAGGAGCCTGTGCCTGCACTCATCCTCTGTGGTGATCAGCCGGAAATGGTTGAGAGCTTTAAGTATCTCAAGAGCTTAATAACCGCTGAAGGTTGTGTTGGGAGGAGATCACATCACGACTAGTGAAAGCTAGAACAGCTTTCGTAAAACTGTGACACCTATGGCGCCGCCATGACATCCGACTGTCCCTTAAGGGAAAGGTGTACATCACCGCGATCAGTAGTGTCCCCCTTTACGGCTGCCAGACCTGGCCTTTCCGAGCTGAGGATGTTAATCGACTTTCCGTATTCGACCACCGATGCCTTAGAAGCATTGCTCGTATCTGGTGCGAACATCGGATGAGCAATGACGAAATTCTTCGTCGTGTGCTGGGTACTGATAGTCGTTCTCTAACGGAAAAAATCGTTCTACACCGCCTCCGATGGCCTGGTCACGTATTGCGTATGCCTGCCCATCGACTACCTCGCCGTGCTCTCTTTGCACGTGTTGGGTAAGGTTGGAGGAAGCTTCGCGGCGGTCAGACCATGACATGGGCTAGAGGCATGAAGAAGCTGGCATCAACGTTGGCTTCGGTTGGTGCAGCTCGTCTTACAGGTTAGGGTCCAAGGGATGAGGATTGTCGTTGGTTGGAGACGATGAGAGATATGGCTCAGAATAGATGTCAGTGGCGCAACTGATGTGCGGTTTGTTCGGCGAAACCTCGTTCCCCACTAAACGAAAAAAAGTCTTCATAAAGTGTACGGTGAAACTACAAAAAATTCCTGTTTATACATTCGTTCTCCGTGGTCCCTGTTTTCCCCATTGTCATCTAATCTTTCTGTACCCTTCCGTAACTTCATTATTGTCATTTTGCAATGGCACCATGCTTGTTTCTCAAGCCGGTGTACCATATATATATATATATATATATATATATTGATCAACCCGGTTTCTCAACTCCTCTTTAGCATTTTACTCCATTGATTGTCTACTGCGAGTGCGCTCATTTGAACCAGGTTTATTTTAAATTTGAATGATCACATATTGGACATTTTTCATCCTGAGCCACATTTTAGAGCACATCTTCTTTTCCTTGAATCAATAATTTCATCTTCCTCAATATGAAAGGTGCTTTCGACTCAGTAGACCGTTATATAATGTGGCGCAGTCACTTTTTGAATGGTTTGTCAGATAAGTTTATTTCAGTAATACGATCCCTTTGTAGCATTTACTCGGCTCACAGCTTTTTCACCGGAGTTTATCACGGAAATCGATGTTCGTCAGGTTTGGTTTCTCTCTCTTACCATGACGGAGCAGTAGGTCTTCGTGACTAGGGCTTTCGCCTCTTCCGCTGTTCACCACACAAATGTGTGTAATTAAAAAAATGCATTGGATCTTGGAAACAGGTCTGTCTTCGTATGGGCTTAGTGGTATGGTTATGTATCCAGGTGACAGGTTGTCTGATCTAGAGTATGCGGAAGACGTTGTGCTACTGAGTGAAATCTCGAGTTTCGTAAGTTATCCTGGATAGTTTGAACACATCTTGCATCTTCAATGTTTAAAGTGCTGCAACGGAACTGGGTAGATCTAGCTCACAATTTCACCCTCAGTTGAGAAGTGATAGAGCAAGTGAACAAATTTTACAATTTGGGTGGGTGTATATCACTTGGCGGATACATCACAGATACACTGTCTGTAGGCATTATCATCATTTCAACACGTAACCAACTACATAGAACTGGCAATTATATCGCAGCGTATGAAGTTAAAATCTGTAGAATGTGTTCATGGATTGTGTGGGCATGGCATTTTCCGGTTACCTTGACCGAAAAAGGAAGATAACCTCGGGGTTCCCATCCGAAGCCCTTGGACAACCA